TAACAAACAAAACTGATGCGCAAATGACGTTGGTAATGCATGGCAATCTTAGATAAAACATATCCGTCATGAAAAAGTGTTAATTGAAGTGTCTATAGGCTACAATTGTGATGATGTAGTTATGTCTATGTCATACAAGTGACTAGATGATGCGAATTATACGACCACCAGAACTCTTTATAAAAGGAAATGTTCAACATTTGAAAATATTAAACCAAGTATTAGATATAATGTCATCAGCTCACGTATAGCTAAAGTATACCGTTAAGTGAAATGGGCAATATATTTGAAGGTAAATTTATCGATAAAGTAAATATGTTTTTGAATATCTCATTGTTTGATTGTGTCATAGACAGTTGGTATGACGTTATGGTGCTGCCGAAAAAGCCGTGAGAATTTGACAACCAAGCACACACTTGCAGCGCTTCAACCTCCCGAGAGGTGGCCGAGGAGTCGTGGTGGTGCTGGAGGTGCTTTTTGAACCACATATCGTCGTGTGCTCGTGTTTTAGACCTTTCTCTAGGCGTTCATGCATATCTATCCGTGAGTTTAAGATGTTCATTTGTATTCACACACTTGGCTCTGGCGCTAATCTTATGCAGTTTGATTATTAATCTTATTTCCATGGTAACTAGCAAACACGTCCAACTTTTTACATTATTTAGCACGTAACCTGATTTGTGCTTGAACACTGTACAACATGCTTAACATTGGTTCCAAGCCCATTGATGTTCGTTATATCTGGAATTTGTGCTCACGGAGGCCAGATGTGAAGGACTCGACAATTATATTTGTCTTGGCCTTAAACGCCGCATGGCCAATTGGATGGCAGAATTTGAATGGCGTTTCTATGGCGTAATGCATGGCTGAATGCCTTGATATAATCCGCATAAAATAGTTTGCACATTTTCGCGGGCGCGTAGCACATGAAACAGAGGGCTATAGATCTTAAGAACGGCAGGGCTGTGAACTGCACCGGGTGATCTTCAAGATGGATTATAGTTCAAAATCCTAAGCACATGTGAAACATTCCCTTTTAAACCCGCCAGGCAGTGGGGGTCAAATTGACCCCCCCAAAGAAGGTTTTTGCAAAATGGTTTCCGAACGGCGCGGCGTAGCCGCACCAAGTTTTGCATAGCTGTAGACAATTGAGTAGCGGTTCGTCTGGCATCAAAAACTGAAATTTGCTTTGTACGGACGCTGTCCTATGGCAGGTCAAAGTAAGGGCATGGTCTTAGCGAAGGCAATTTCTAGGGAATCCTTCAATCTGATTCAACGACGGGGCGTTAGACGAAGCCACACATCTCCGAGATGCTTTCTTAGGCAACACAACACTTGAATGAACAGATTGCATTGACCTTAGGCCAGGTATGAAGATCAGGCCAAGGTCAAAATAAACCTTTTTATTGCTCTAGGGCTTGCTGTATGTGATAATTTCTGGCGCTCATTTCGAATTCATTGACAGCAGGAATCGCATTATACACCTCCCATAGACTTCTTTAAGGCCATATAGGTCAATGACCGGGATGACCAGGTCGAAATTTTGTTTTAGGAACATAATGCCTAGCGTAATATTTGTCGCTTATCCAAACGCAAAACTCAAAGCGGTGTTGTATTATTTTGATAACCATGACCTTCAAAAGGTCAAACGAGGTCACTGACCTTAGATGAGCATGTGACCTTTTGCTTAGAACAGTTGTCTAGGTTCCAGGGCCCTTTTAGACCAACCTGGAACTTGACAAGTTTGACCTTATTTTACCCAAAGGTCATGACCTAGGAGCACTAAACGTTGACCTAAGTGAGTTCATGTACAAGTCAACACACCCTGTGAACTTAGCGTCTCTAGCTCTGTAAAATCCTGAGATCTCAGGGCAGTCAACTTGACCTCCACCCGAGCGAAGGGCGTCCAACCGGACACCCGGGCGCTTGTTAAGTAACACCTAAATATTTGCCGTCAAACGTTGTCCTGGCGAGTTCGAGATATCTGAGGGCGTCCGAGGTCCGTAACTGTGGGCATGCCAAGATGGTCGATCTATTATCGCGGCTAGTTGACCATCTGCATCATAATCGCCAGGTAGGTCAGGACGAAGCTTAGAATCGCCAAAACATTGGATTTCTGCACGGTAAAATATGACAGGCGCCCTCTGCCCGATGTAAGCCGGGTGGTTAACACTGCTCGGTCTCATGGAAACTGCCACCCCCGGCCATTGCTGTTCTTGTTTCTAAGATCGCGAGCACGTAGGCCCAAAACTGCTTCGCGTAATGTATTTCACATGATCATCCTGACCAAGCATGGCCAAGTAGCAGACGCCTCGCTTCTGCTGGCTTTTTCATTTTTGACCTTATTGTGATCCGCCCTATTGAAATTTTAAGGAAACCGCTTTCATTTTCCGGGCAAGGGACCCAGCGGGCAGACCAGTAGGAGGCACATTATATTTCCCGATCAGAGGCTTCGGGGCTATTCGGGTGCAACGTGTGGTACCCTCTGGATGTCATGCCGGTGACGCAGGGCGGGATGCCCTGGCTGGTACAGAAAACCTAAGAGGGAAACATCATACATTGGTGTTTACCGGACGCCGGAGGCCTCCTGACCCGGCCATTTGCTACCAAATAGGCGCAGGGCACTCATGACTGCAAAAGATCCCTATTAGTCGCAGATGTCCAATAATTGGCAGAGACTACAGTTCGGCATAACGGGCTCTTTGCTGAAATGGGAAGGAGAGCCCTCCGTTCGGTATCAGGGGCCTGCCGGACAAAGGGCCTTCCATTATTGCGTTGTGGACTCACATCGTTAGCTTCCATCAGCATTTTCGTTGCCAGAGGGCCTCGACCAACGCAACAGGCCCCCGGCTTTTGGGGTCCCGTCCCTGTCTCTACCTAACAGATGTTGCCCTGACTCGAGCCCCTTACAAACATTGGACCCTCTATCAGGCGCTGTGGGTCTTTGACCCACAAAAGAGCATTTATTGCTTTAAGGGTCCCGACCGATGCAAAATGCGCGTTCCGACCTTGTTCCTGTTTGGGAATGAGCTCCCAGGGCTCAGACCAACACGGAATCGATTGTTCAGCGTTGTTGGTCTATGACCGAAGTAGAGACCCGCGCCGTCACAGGGTGTCCCCAGTCGGTGCAAGATGCCCTTTTTCTGACATTTGATGGCCCGGCCCGGCTTCAGTAGTCGACATGGAGTCGACGTTATGAGGCATCAGACGTTGCTGGATGTGCACGGCTTCGGGAACGAAGAGCGTAATTGCGCGACTAATAGTGTCTGCCATGGAAATCCCTGTTGATGGCCGTAGGGCGGTGTGCAGGTGCATCACTTCCATTAAGCATGCTTGACGCGGGCTGTGTTGGTGGCTAGCTAAGACGATTGCTGCTATTGGTTTAGTGGGCTGGTGTCGGTCGTCAGGTTTTTGTAACTGTTTTATCGAACAGTCACGTGAAGTTTCATGTGAGGTTTCACCAAACATTCAGGAACATTTCAAGGGTTCCTCCAAATGTAAATGGCTAACAACTCTTATCACGCTTTGTTTTCATTTTCCGGTAGGACGCCGCAGCAAAACAACGCAGCTTGCTGCGGTCTGTACAACTTATCGACGCCAAACACTCATGGCATCTAGAATCCGTGGACAACGACACCCGTGGTATTTAGGTTTTTGGGCACCGTGGACACCACTCTGGAGTTTGAACTTGTCTGACCTCATTTAACCCAAAGGTTATGATCTAGAAGCCCAAATCTGGCCACAAGCGAGTTCACGTGCAGGATAACACACCTCTTGAATTTGGTGCCTCTAGCTTTCTCAGCATTGACCCCCACCCGAGCAAAGGGTATTCAACCGGCCACCCCGCGCGCGTGTTAAACGAAACGAAAGCACAAGTCACAAAGCATCTTATTATAGCGCACATATCACAGACATGAAGCGTAAATGAGTCTTGCAGTTTTGGTCGAATCGCCATGCTCCTTAGAAACCAACTGCCTATTTCATGCCTCCTCGCTTCCACTTGGCATGTTACGCGCTTTGATTTTTTTTCGCTTAAACAATGATGCATTATCGCACATCACTCCACTCAGTGTGGTTCAGCCATCTTATTGTCGCCTGATGGCCCCTGTTTGTCCATTTGTAGAGATGACGCCATTTTGTTGCACAATTGATCGAAGACTCTGAAGAACTAGAGTAGCCGTCACTCAGGGCTTCCCGACGGGCCTGAATCGCAGCGTCCGGCCAGTGTTAGCCACCTCAGACTGAGTCAGTCGTGTCGCTTGGGCCACCCCAGCGGCCTGCGGGTTAGAAAAAATATTCGCTTACAAACTGCATGCAGCAGGCCGTGAAAGGCAGATGGTGCATAGTTTTGTTGCTTGCCGTTCGGGACCCATCGCGACTGCGCGTCCGTCAGCGCGTTGCTGAAACGTCGGAGCCCCGAGCTCGTGCACCAGAGTTTCGAAAGTGTCGATCGTGACGCTCCTGCTTCCTGTCAAGATTCCTTTACCCCCTTTAGTAAAAAATTTTAAGTGCATGGACCCATCCTGCCCACCGTCCCTTCTTCCTGTTCCTGCGCTTATGACATGCTTGAAATACTTTAACTCGGAACGGATATATATATATATATATATATAGTATATATATATATATGCTTAAAATGCTTAAAATGAAGAAGTGTGTCAGGGAGCCCGGAAGAAAAGGGAAGGGGGCGGGCAGTGCCAAGGGTCGAATAAATGTTTGTGCATGCATCGCCTAAGTTCAACGTTAAGCATTCGAAGTGCGGGCCGTCTCCTTCTGTTTCCATGCCCATGAAGGCTGCTTTGCAATGTGTGAGAACTCTGATGATAACATTTGTTCTATATTGGCTATATCTGGAGTTTAAATCTCGACTGGTACGTTGACGATATTATATCGTCCATCTTTTACGATTCGACATCCAACAAACATTATTGCAGTATATTAAACTGAAGTAACCTTGATATGACATAGCCTTAGATATGACTCATCTGTGACGCGCTTTACGGTGGTACTATGGGGTGGTGCTACGGTACGGTGTTGAGTCTGTTCCAGGGCCTTGGGCATTGAGTTGGGCTGTTGCGCTGATTGTGCGGGTCTTCGGGACACAACCGCTGTTACCTACTGTTCAGACATTTCCGCTCGGTTAGGCTGTGGAGTGGGTGATACAATCCGCACCTCATTATCCTAGATATGTTTAGCTCTGGCCCAAATTACAACAAGCTTAAGACCAACCTGCGACTGGCTGTCAGCAGGCTGAAACTACTGGAAAAGAAAAAAACGGAGCTGGCACAGAAGGCAAGGAAGGAAATAGCTGACTACATTGCAGCAGACAAAGTGGAAAGGGCGAAAATTCGAGTGGAACACATCATCCGTGAAGATTACCTGGTGGAAGCCATGGAAATTGTGGAGTGCTACTGTGATCTGCTGCTTGCAAGGATGGGTTTGATTCAGCAAATGAAGACGTTGGATGAGGGGCTGGCAGAGCCCATTGCGAGTATCTTGTGGGTCACTCCACGTCTGCAGGCTGATATTGCTGAGTTGCAAGTCATTGCAAGCCAGCTTGGTACCAAGTATGGACAGGAGTATGTGCAAGCATGCAGGGAGAACAGCATTGGAGCTGTGTCACCAAAACTGATGCACAAACTGTCAGTCCAAGCCCCACCCAAGATTTTGGTGGAGAAATACCTGTGCGAAATTGCAAGAAACTATAACGTGGCATATGGGCCGGACCCACAAGTGATGGCAGAGGATGAAATGCATGCTACTGGTGAAAACCTCATCAACTTCGGTGGCACTGAGGACAGTGGTGCTGGAGGTGGACCCAAGAGCAGTGGTGGAGGAGGAGGAGGAGGAGGTGGGTTTTCAGAACCTCCCATGGGGGCTTCAGGCATTGTCCTGCCCACAGTTCCATCAGATGCAGTGGCACCTCCTCTGGGATTTGTTGACCCATCAACATTTAAGGCTCCAGGTAGTGCCGGACCAGCCTACCCAGCCCCAGGTCCCGCATACAGCCCATATAATGTGAACTTCAATCCTCCAGAAAAGCCACTGAACACCAACTTCAACTACCCAACCCCAGCACCAAGGTCAAAGGTAGATAATGCACTGAACTTGCCTGATGTCCCTGCTGAATTCAACACATTTGGGCCACCAGCTTCTGGTACCAACTCAGCACCAACAGGAAACCCAGATGAAGAAGCCAACTTTGATGACTTGACAAAGAGGTTTGAAGCCTTGAAGAAAAGGAAGTAGTCATAGTGGGTGATGGAAAGAAATGTATGCATATGCTTTCACCAAGATGTGTTGATGCAGCAGGGCAGTGTACTATGCCATCAGATGCTGGGACTGGCTGCCACTGCTAATAGGATAGTGGTATTAGACTGCATCAACTTTAATTTAAGGGTGCTTCAAGTATGTTGAATGACTCAATGTTATGCTAACAATCTTTGCTCTTAAAACTCACATAGAAGAGCAAATTATGAGATTTGCTGCAATTGGGTATGATTGGGAAAGAAATGTGATTGCTTTATTTGGAGAGTAACATATTTTTGTAAACCCATGTTGGATCTCAGTTGAAACACCAACTTGTGACATTTTCTGGACAATTATTGTAAAAGATCAATGGCCTGAAAATGCTTGGGAATTTTGGTCAGGAGGAATAAGCATGACATGTATGGTCAGGAAGATACTTTCAAGGTCAATATGGCAGAATTGAACTGGGTTCTGACACTTGAGTGTCATTGTTTATAAGAAGTGCATGTTGTGTTATGTTGTTGCAAACTGGCCTGAATGTGCTTCATATTTTGCTTATGTAGACAGAGTGGGCATATGGTGGGTAGGGAATGAACTGCAGTTGTCTTTGTAGCATGTCTGCCTTTGTTTTCTTGATTGGACAGCAGGTGCCATGCAGTTTGAGCACTTGGAAACTTAATGCTGATAACACTGGACTGTGTGACAACTTGATAGGTCTCCCAACCAAAGTGTGCACTTTGACTGTGTGAGTGTATGCACTGCTTTCATGCTTAATACAAAGGAAAACTGTCATTTTCAGCCACCTCTTGCAATGCATGTTGACTGTGAGGTGATGTGCCTCTCATATTTGAGCATTATGTGCAAGGATCAGCTCATTAAGATACTCGGTTTTTCAATGTGTCATCTCCCTTTCACACTATGTTTTACACCCATGTGCAGACCCCATGCTCTTGGGTTTTCCCACTGAACAAGGATGCTCTGAAGAAAATGGGCACTGGACATGCCCCCATACACATTGCCTACCATTTGTTGTGTGTACAGTGACATTCGTGACTCTCGACAGTCATCTTAAAGCTCACTTTCACGACAATCTCGGGGCGAACCGGTCGCCCAGGTGCGGCTCACAATGACCACATTTCAGTAAAGTCGCTTTTGAGCTAGCGTGCGCGCGTCATTTATATCTGGATGTTCGCTGCAGCACTCGCTTCACACGATCGGTGATGCGACGGCTGCCTTGGCTAGGATGCTTTCCGGACTATCGGCAACCATATCGGCTATCTATCTATCTAACCAACTATCGGCCCGGGCATTATAGTACATAAGTTGGTGGGCAATGCACAAGCGCACTTCGTTTCGTATGCTGGGCGTATTGGAGTCCCACGTGAGCATGAGCAGGGGAATGCCAGCACTTAACTCCAGGTCCTTGGTCCAGATGTAGTCGCCGTTTCCATAACATCGTCATAGGGTTTTACTGTTTCAAAGCTCCCTTGTCGAAAGAGCGCTGGTCCTCAGCCCCCCCCTTCCCCCCCCAAATTCATACATCGCTTCTGCCCCTCTGCTCCGTTGTCAAGACGTGTAAAGCACTCTTGCAATCGCGTCGGCATGACCTCATGTACTTTGCAAAAGCCCAGCTGAAGGCGTCGTGGGACCGCTGCAAGCAATGCTCCACCCAGTGCATACAAAACGTGGTTCCAGAGGACTCTACGAGCTACGTCACTCTCAGGACTCCCCGAAAAGCGTTCTGATGCCTGTAAAACTAAGGTATATTCGTCCATAGTATTTTCGACATCCGCCACAGAAGGGATTTCATGTATGGCGGCAGAAGCTCCCTGCCGGATAAACGTTGATCCGCGTCAACAATGACTGGCGCGTAGCTAGGGCACCAACTATCCAGCCAGATAACCAGGCAGGGCTCCACTATCGCTGCCGATTCTACATGCTATTACACGCAAAGCCATTGGCCCGGGACGGATCTGCAGGGTGGCCACCGCCGCCACTCCCCCCCCCCCCCCGTTCCCATGGGTGATAAAAATTGGTGTCCCTGTGTCGAGGGCACGTGACACTTGTCACGTAAGCAGTGAGCCGAGGGCATCATATTGAACGTCAAACGTGTGCCGCGTGAGTAAAACAACGCTCCAAAACAGCAGTGTGTCTGGGAGCCGAAATTCGCGACTATGCAAGTTTTTTTCTCAATTTAATTTTTTCATTCCTTTCTTATAATTTTTTGCAAACGAAGTTTGCTCCATTTTGGCGTGCCAGGTCAACCGAATGCCGCTACAGGGCGACCCCTTCCTTACTCCTGAATGAAAATCCTGGATCCGCCTCTGTCAGGGATGTTCGTCACACATTGGCGACATTAGGTGTGACACAGTGCGAGTGCTCAGTCCTCGGGGAGCGCGCACATTGCTCAGACGTGTTCCACGGGATTCCGCTAGTCAGACATGGCACAACTGTGGGACAGCTTTCAGTGCGACACAGCAGCTATACTACCAGATATGTGTGGATAGAAATCAAAATAAATGGAACTGTCAGTTGGATCATGGATCGGACCCAAAGAAGTCATGAATTCAGGGTTACAACCTCCTACCATTGGACCAATCCAAATAACACGGTGCGCCTTTGGGATCTAGTTACATCCCAGTACACAGCATTAGCTGATCGATGATCAGTCTAACGATTACTTCACGCGCGACAGAGGCAATGGGTAACGAGCGCGCAGCCTAGCACAATGACCGGCAAACAACACTGCAGTAAGGCAGTCGCCATGCGACAGCAAGTGGCGTGGGCCCGCCTATCGGAGCCGAGGGGGACAGCGCTGGCGCGGCGCGGCTCCCGCGGAGGAGCTCAGCGACCTTCGACGCGACGGAGCGCGGGCGGCACCGACTCGGCTGCCAGGGGGCACTCCCGCACCGGACGTGACGGCGGATGACGTCGTCGGGCCTGCCGGGCATCCGCGGCTCCGCGCGGCCGGCGGTCCGGCTAAAGTTCCTCCGGCCATGGGGATGGGTAGCCCATGGAGCGCAGCTTGTTGGTCTGCACCTCGCGGTACACGGCCTCCGGGAACGGGTTGACGGTGAAGAAGGCTAGCAGCGCCACACCCGTGGCCAGCACCACCACCAGCAGGCTGTTGAGCAGAAGGCGCTGGCGGCGCGGCTGCCGGATGCTGCTGACCTCCAGCAGGTGGCGCTGCAGCTCTGCCGCGTGCGCCTTCTCGGCCGCGGCGCTCTCGTAGCCGCATATCCAGTTGTAGGCCCGCTGCCAGACGGCCGGCTCTGGGGACGGCCGGCGTGTCATCGCGCCGCCAGCCGGCCGGGTGTGGGCTCAGGCTGGAGAAGTCTGCGGGGTTGCCGCAGGCCTGCCACAATCAATAGCGCAGCACCGCGAATTCGGATGGGCCGTCGGACGGTTCGGCGCAATTAGATGAATCGCCTCGACCTGAAACCTCGAGCCGAGAGTTCAGACGGCTACCGAAAACACGGGCCGTTTTGAGGCATGGTACTCAACAGCCATTTGCACGCGACGCACGGTTGATCCCACCCGCATCAAAGGTGGTACGTACAGTTGTGCAATACGCAGACATATACACACATGGTCGCTCCGTCCGCACTCATCATGCGCACCTGTGGCCGACGCAGGTTCGCAGCCTCCTCTCACCTGGACGGTCCAGCTCGTCTGTCTCCAGAGCGAACTTGTCGGTGTCGGCCGGCTCGGCCGGCGCCGCCTCATCCTGGCGCCTCTCCTCCGAGAAGCGGGTGAAGAAGGTGGTGCGGATGACGCGCCAGTGCTCCGGCGGCTCGGTCAGCAGCGACACGGCCGCCGCCACCACGCCCGTCAGCCAGAACAGCAGCATCGCGAAGTACATGTAGTGCATCTGAAGTCAGCAAAGCGCGCTGAACACGCAGCTGCCGGTTGGGTGCCAACGCTCTAGCCTCTCACAAGCCTTGCGTTTCGTCCTGGTCGAATTTTGTGAGGTTCGTTCATGGAAGTGGGTCTACTGCGGAAGTTACTAGATATCATTTTTAAGGGACGAGCGTTTAAGTAAGCAAAACTTCAACGGTAAAAACCGCTCAACTGAAGCATTTTCGCTTGTACGCTTTCTCTCCGGCAACAACGCCGTGGACTAGTACACCGTCATAAATGATGTGCCTCACCCACCCCCACCTGGTTGAGATTTTTTTAAAAATCGCGAATTAGCATAGCGTTAAGATAAAAACACGGCAACAAGAAAAAAAACACTAAATGAATTGAAAGGGTATGTGAAAAACTTACGCAAACTTTTTCTTTGGTAGACCCAACTTCGTTATGAACAGGCGGAAGAGGTTGCTGCAAAACCCTCGAGACTTTCAGGGTGAACTAAGATGGACTTTGATCCGCAATAGCCGGAGAGAAGCGCCGTCACTGCCCCGGAGCTCCTCGCCAGCGACTGACGTTCTCTCGCCGGGGTATTACGTCACCGCGCTTCTTCGGCTCGAACTCCAGCGGAGGCCGGCGCATGTGATCTTGGCAGCGGCACGCATGACAACCTTGGCCTGACGTCGGGCGGGCGGGCCCGTGCCCACCACCCGTCAGCGCGCATGTCACTCCACCCACCTTGGCCACGACAGCCGGCCGGGTGTCCTCAGTCTCCCAGCACTTTGGCGCGTCGAACATGTACACGAAATCCAGCACCATCCGAATGACGCCAACGATGAAGCCGCTCATCAGTCCCCAGAAGGCGCCCTGCCAGCGGAGGTGGCCGGTCAGCCAGGTCCCGTGGCGTCTCCTGACGATTCACCGTCGGATCCATCATTCACAGTGTCCTGTTACCCTGATCATCCACCGTCGGACAGATGAAGTAGCCGTGATCGGACCCGCAGTACACGCATTGCCGCAACAGCTGGCGACATGTTAGGCAAGTCGTACAGCCTGGGCCCGGCCGTGAGACGACCACCGCGGAGTCGGGTATCGCCCCGGAGGCAGCGCAGCCCCGACGGCCAGCGCGATCGACACGGTTACACGTTGGAGGTAATCGCCAACGATCTGTATATCGTTCGCTAGTCAGTGTCACACCTTCTTCGAGTC